ATATATACCAGTGTAGTCCCCAGTCACTACGGCGGACAGTGGTGGCTTACAACATCGCTAAGCACACTGACCTCGGGATGCCCTAATTCTTATTCAAAAGAGGAGGATAAGGAACAACGGAGACAGTGGTATGGAGCACCATTGATTCGCAAGCTCAACTCACCGCAGAGGCACGCCTTGTGTATTCTGAGGCGTGCAATGTCTCAGTTGATCCCTCTCCAAGAAGAAACAGCTGTTGAGTACATTCAACGAGCACAATGACCCTGCCAACCATTAGTCAAACAAATCAGAGGAGAGTTTACACATCATCTCAGTCCAAACATGTGCAAGCACTTAACAATGGAGGAACCTACTACATCAAAGTTGATTGGACAATATTTTTTAAGCCTGGACATCCCGGTCACACAATACTTGCAGTGCACCACGTCTAGCACATAGCTGAGACCCCACTGGTGGGCTGAACATAATGCGTGTACCAGAAAACATTGTGCCCTTGTGCCAGTTCATAAAAACAACAATCCAGCATACTCGAGCAGCAGAGAAGTCATCATCATGATGAACGTCAGCCAGAAGCCACCAGGTAGGCAAAACTCTCTCCCCATGTGTAATGAAGCCTGCAGATTCTCAGTGGACTGTACATTGGGCCGAGGGCGAAGCTTGGGGCTTGCCTTGGTCGGGGGCTTAGATTCGTAATTTTGTGTGAGCTCCCTGTAAGGAAGATTCGTGAGGGACATATCTGTAAATACGGGAAAATACAGGCCGGTACTAACTGAATTTCCTACAGTTAACCTAACTGCGAATAGCAGGCCCGGGCTGCCCCTAGGACAGCCAGGCCCTATAGGCCTAAGCTGATAGACGGTCCTATAGCCTATAGCCGGGTTGGGAGAGGCCCTAGAGGCCGAGACAGAAACAGTACCGGTCGGTCAGTCAGTCCGGTCTAGGTCGAGTCTAGGCTAGATGTAGTCTATAGATAGATCGGGCACATCGGTTCAGGGCTTTGACAGTTGGTACCGAGTACATCGCTGCTGTGCTACGCGTGAACCGGAGGTGGTGACGGCTCAGCGTGGAAGGAGACGGGCATAGCTAGACCTCCGGAGTGCAGGCCATAGCTGGGACCTGCGCTGTACTCTGCCAGCACGTAGGGGCTGACAGAGGTCTGGGTTATCGAGGTCTGCTGGAGGCGAGAGAGATTGGTGCCTTGCTGGACCCTCCTCCGGAGTGGGGTCCCAGGGGGTTTGCGCTGCAGCCATAGCTGCAGCTTCTTCATCTCAGAGGTCATCTTGTCAGGGTTTGGTGGCGCTGCTGCAGACTTCCACCCGGGAAGTCTTCCGACACTTCATCATCATCAGATACTGTGGCGCTGGTCTTCTTCTTCATCCTGAGTGGCGCTTGGCCTCAGAGGCCTGTTTCAGGGTGGCGCTGCCTTCAGGAGGCTGTATCTGGGTGGCGCCTGATGTTTTAGGGACTCAAGGGGTGTTACGGGTGCTAATCGGGGTTGGGGAGTGAAGCGCTGCTCATTTCTGAGCAGCGCACTGTCGTACTGAAGTTATCCTGACAATTTGAGACTCTGAGTTTAATAAACAGTGTGATACTGTGTTTGGACTATCATCGTTTCATTGTTTCCTGGATGTGATCTGCTCGGCTTTTCTCTATGACTGGTTGTGAGGATTGAGTGGAGTGAATTGCACTTTCAGTGTACCCTGTCANTGGCGCTGGTCTTCTTCTTCATCCTGAGTGGCGCTTGGCCTCAGAGGCCTGTTTCAGGGTGGCGCTGCCTTCAGGAGGCTGTATCTGGGTGGCGCCTGATGTTTTAGGGACTCAAGGGGTGTTACGGGTGCTAATCGGGGTTGGGGAGTGAAGCGCTGCTCATTTCTGAGCAGCGCACTGTCGTACTGAAGTTATCCTGACAATTTGAGACTCTGAGTTTAATAAACAGTGTGATACTGTGTTTGGACTATCATCGTTTCATTGTTTCCTGGATGTGATCTGCTCGGCTTTTCTCTATGACTGGTTGTGAGGATTGAGTGGAGTGAATTGCACTTTCAGTGTACCCTGTCACATCGCATGGTCAAGTCTTCCGCTGTGTTTATCTCTCCCTGTGCGGTGTGATACTCCTATCCTCTCCCCTTCCTTCTGTGTGTGTATGGGCATACCTGGAAGTCTATGTGAGTGAGTGTTGGCCTACAGACAACGAACAACCAGAATCATAACAGTTGGTATCAGAGCAATTGGATCCAGGCTCTGGAGCGATTGATGAATTGGAGCATCCATCATCATCTGGCGAGATAGTGGAGTTGAGTTTCATGGCGATTCATCATCTTCAGGGTGGTTGTCAGTAAGGGTGGTGGTTGTGAGTGTGTGGCGAGAAGAATTGGGCAGAGAGTAGTAACTCACTCCTGACTGGGATTGTGCAGGAGTGGTTGGCGATTGGTACTCAGGCCTGGGAGGCTCTGAGAGGCTAAACATAGCCTGGTGATTCACCTGGAGGTTGGCGAATGTCAAGGAAGTGATCCCAGGAGGTGGCGATTGTGGAATTGGGATAGGATCCCCAATTTCTAGGCAGCGCTGTACAGGGTGATGTGGCGCTGCACTGACTTTATCAGTTATTGGCACGTGGGGGTCATCATTCTTTGATTCTGTCAGTTGGGGGTGAAGCGCCTCAGGGTAATTTGTTGGATCATCAAGTTTCAGGAAATTTGGTACGTGGGAACACTGGATACTGTCAGGGACCAGTCAGCCATAGCCAGGGTTTCATGCATCTTCTTCAGCCATAGCCAGGGTTTCATGCATCTTCTTCAAAGTTGACCCTGAAGTAAGTGTGTTCCTTACTCCATCCTGTGTGGCGAGTCTGGGGCTATTTTTAGAGTAGCGGAATTTGGTCTGTCTGTTAGGTGACAGTTGAAAATCGAAATTCAGACTGTGGGACAGCCATATCCAAACTTCCCCTACCTATCTTCCTTGACTTCTATTAACCCTGTTTGACCTTCCCTCTGGCTCATATTTCATCTGGGACTGCTTTACAGTATTGCGACTGACACTGTGCAACGAATTGGTGAATTCAGGGGTCTAGTGTCAGTGATAATGCAAATTGGAATTCTTCGCTGACATAGCCAAAGCTAGGCTAGACTAGGGTCAGTCATAACTTCGATTTTGTCTGTCAGAATTCAGTTTTGTCAGTCCCTGGTAAATCGCAATTCAGTATTCTGTCAGTGTCTGAAATCGCACATCCAGATTTGATGTTCTGAGTCAGTTACAGTGAAAACTGTAATTCGCCATACCCAAGGTATGACATACAGGGTCATAAAGTGTTGAGGTCTGTAGGGTAAGTCTGAAAATAGGATATCCTGTAAATCGCTGCATCTTGGTCACCAGTAGAGACCTGTCTAATCCTAATTAGTCACTCTGTCTAACTACTAATCAACACTAATTAGTCCAAGACTGCGTCCTGTCAAGTATTGAAGCAGGATTTTCGATTATTGCGTGCAATTGTTGTGTCAGGACGGATGGAAAAATCGTGAAATTGGTTTTTGCCTGAGTGGACTCTGAACTGACCCTGACCCTCAAGCGGTCTGCTGAGACTGAGCACTCACTTGCTCAGACTAACCAGTCTTCTCTCTCCAGGCAGGTGACAGCAATTGAGTTGGTACTAGAGAGAACACTCAATTCCTGTTACCTCCTGCTTGATCCCTGATTGTTGTTTGTTTTATTTATCTCTATTGTGGAAATGGCTGATGCATGGAAAGCGAAGGCTTCTGAGGTCAAGCCTCAGATTCCGCTGGACCCTTTAGAGGTTGAACTGCAGGCCCAGGAGGAGAAACTCCGCCAGCAGGCCCAAGCAGTTGAGACTCTGAAGGCTGAGCTGAAAAAGAAAGAGGAGGCAGCCCAGAAAGAGGCAAGGAGGAAGTTATTGATTGCAAATGTTGAGAAGATCAGGGTTAGTGGGAGTTCCAGTCAGTATAACAAGGACATGGCTGAGTTCATCCTCCTGCAGGATGATATTAACCGTTCTTATCCTTAACACTCCTAAAGCGTGTAGCGGGTCTCGCGTAACGCTCCCACGAGACTCCGGTTGCCAGTGTTGGGAAACGTGCTGTGGTGAGGGGCGGGCCCGCGGGGAACTCCTTAGTGTTTCCCGAAACGGCGGGCGGTGGGGGGAGTCCGAATTTAGCGCAGGGGCCAAGGAAGATACACTCCCTTTTTTTTTTCGGAGGGGAGGGGGTCTTCGGGAGTGTTCGGGTGAAGTCTTTGCGTTTTCCCGAAACGCCCGGCGCCCGAATTTAGCGGGGGGGCCGGGAAAGATACAGTCCTTAGTTTTTTTTAATTTGGAGAAGGCCTTCGGGAGTCTTCGGGTGAACCGCGTCGGCCAGCCGGGTCAGTAGCCGCGGGGTCGGTGGCATATATACACACCGATTTTTGTCCTCTGCGTTCGGCACTCGCTATTTTGTATCTCCCGTTTGTTTCCATGTCCTGCCTTCTATGCGTTTCCATGTCCTGCCTTCTATGCGTTTCGGACAGTTAACCAG